CTGTGTGAAGTGAAAGTGATGTTCAAGCGAAGGCGAAGAGCTGTTCTAGGAAGAAAGTGTAGGTAGGCAAGACGAGGAATGGCCGGCTGGCTGTCTCTCTACAGACTGGCACTTGGAAGCTAGCTAGGTAGCTAATAGACAAAATGGGAGGGGTGGTGAGATAGAAGAAGGAGGTGATGATGAAGCAATGTGAAGCAAGATGGACATGACAGGATAGGAGAAGAGAAGCTGACTTCAATGTACTGTACATCGATGTGAATAAAGGCGTGAAGGAGAGTGGTTTGTAAGGTAGAAGACAGGAGGAATCGACCTGAGAACATTGTGTATCAGATAAGCAGGTCTCTATCCATCATCTGGGAAGAGATCAACCCAGATGATGAACGTTATAATTACCAAGGTGGAAAGACAAATGAAAAACAATGGGTGGATCACTTGGAACGATTCCTTAACCGACTACCACCTTCAACTCGTTGGGAGATGCCACCATGAATATCACTCAGAGAACTGATGGTGGGCACCAATGCTCCACGGAAAGCAGAAATCTCGAATTCGATAAAGCGGCGACTGAAGGCCAGTGTGTGTTCGGGTTAGGGTGGGAATGAACGCCAATGATTCAACTTAAGTACGAATTTAAAGTCAAATTTAACAGAAATGAAAAAATAATTTCCCAAATGAACTTACTTATGTGGATATGATTAAAAGTTTGAATTATGAAAAATCCATTCACTGGGAGATTTTTAAATGCTAGTTTTGGTTGAAATACTATAAATCGGGAAGTATTCTAAACATTTCTCACTTCAATTTAGCACTTTTGAATAACTTTTATAATTTTGAATAAAGCGAGAACAACATTGATTTGTGCAGAATAACATGGTACCATCATTTATTTCGTTGGCTTCTCGTCAGCTGCTTACAGCCTAAATAAATTTTCAGGTTTAAGTACAGAAACGTTTTAACGTACTTGCAAATTTTACATGTTGACAGAAAGTTTCACAACTAGTAAACAGTGCTCAGAAAATTGCGCTTATATAGTTTTTACACAGGCAGTTCAAGTTAAAAAATAATAAATAAATGTATGTATATAATGGTAAGGGATGTGCGTTGGATGCATTGTGACTAATAAGTTAGGTAACAATGTACTGAGTTGAACTCAAATCATAGAAACAAGAGACAAACAAAATTACAGATTATAAAAGGAGGGTGAGGTTAAAGACAAAATTACACAATCAGATGAGAGATGCAAAGTGACTAATAAGTTAGGTAACAATGTACTGAGTTGAACTCAAATCATAGAAACAAGAGACAAGCAAAATTATAAAAGAGGGTGGGAGAACAGAAAGAAGGACACACCTCCGATTTTCTGAACATGTGCCGAAAAGCCTACGTCTCAAGGGAACAAATTCTTATAGCAGCGCTATTACCAGACATCTCCTCGACACGGGTCATGAGGTGGAAATCGAGAAATCCTTCAAAATTATTAATAGACAAAGGAGCTCCATTCTCCTCAAGTTTGCCGAAGCAATTTCTATCAAACGCTTGAAACCAGATCTATGTGTTCAGAAAGAATCAGTTATTAGTCTTTCCTTGCCTTGGTAACTGGATGTCTTTTTTCTCCCATCTGATTGCGTAATCTTTGTCTTTATTTAACCTCACCCTCTTTTATAATTTTGCTTGTCTCTTGTTTCTATGATTTGAGTTCAACTCAGTACATTGTTACCTAACTTATTAGTCACTTTGCATCTCTCATCTGATTGTGTAATTTTGTCTTTAACCTCACCCTCCTTTTATAATCTGTAATTTTGTTTGTCTCTTGTTTCTATGATTTGAGTTCAACTCAGTACATTGTTACCTAACTTATTAGTCACTATGCATCCAACGCACATCCCTTACCATTATATACATACATTTATTTATTATTTTTTAACTTGAACTGCCTGTGTAAAAACTATATAAGCGCAATTTTCTGAGCACTGTTTACTAGTTGTGAAACTTTCTGTCAACATGTAAAATTTGCAAGTACGTTAAAACGTTTCTGTACTTAAACCTGAAAATTTATTTAGGCTGTAAGCAGCTGACGAGAAGCCAACGAAATAAATGATGGTACCATGTTATTCTGCACAAATCAATGTTGTTCTCGCTTTATTCAAATTTATCAAGGGGAATAAATGCATGAAGTTTCTCAAAAATCGCCTCCCCGCTGAATCTTTCAAGTCACTGGATCGCTTGGTGACAATTCGTTGCAGAATATCCAGAGAAGTTACACGAATAAAGTTTTACAATGAATGCTTGCAGTCCCACTGCTTTCCTCGGCATCTCATGAAGTCACTCCGTAGTTGCAAATTGCCACCCTCTCTCAAAAACCTCCGACGCATTACGAAATCGCATATTGAATCAACAGAATCTCTGATTGCAAAATTGAGAAATGAAGCCAGATCCTTTGACGGTGTCGTCAATAGTTTGAACATAGTTTGCCGGATCAAATTCATCAATTTCATTCAAGAGCTTCAACAGAAAACCTGTGAAAATTTTTATAAAACCCTGACGAAATCCCTGACAAAGGAAAAAATATATGAAGTCTTCCCAGAAAATCCTGAGGATTTTGTATATAATCTGTCGAGTGTGAATTTAAGCCGCATAGAAATGGAAGTGCTTTCCCTCGGATTTAACTTCCATATCCCGAATAGCTTTGTCAATAGAACCGACGTCACAGCTCAATTCGAAAACCTATTCTATCAGCTGAATGATCTTACTCCAGTTGATGAAGACAAGAAGAGCTGGTTCAAATCTAAGCTGGTCGACGTTGCAAATCAATACCTCATCTCACCAACGTCATATTCAAAAGTCCTCTCTGAAGAACATCAAAAAGCATTGAAAGCTCTTAGAAATAATGACAAAATTGTCATACTGCGACCTGACAAAGGCTCAGGAGTGGTAGTGATGGATAAAGATGACTACGTCGCAAGGATGAAAACTGTGCTCAGTGATCCGTTGAGGTTCAAAGTCGACGACTGCCAGAAAGACAAGACAGATGCAACCGAAAAACGCATCACAAACGTATTGAGAGATCTTCTAAAGAAGAAATTGATTGACAACAACACGTACAATGAATTGAAACCCCGAGGGTCCCGCTTGCCATATATGTATGGCCTTCCAAAGACACACAAGAAAGAAGTCCCTCTGAGACCTATACTTTCGATGATCAACTCTCCCCAACATAAGGTTGCCCGTTGGCTCGCGGAGAAGTTGGAACCCATTCGCCAAAGGCTGGCCGCGCACACCATAAAGGACTCATTTCATTTTGCTGAAAGCGTGAATCACATGAACGTTTCAAATAAGTTCATGGCTTCATTTGATGCAACCTCCTTGTTCACAATGATCCCAATCAATGAAACCATTGAGATAATTTGTCAACAGTCTGATCTTCTCCCACTACCAGAGCCGGAATTCAAACGCCTACTGCTGATGTGTACCATGGGTGTACAATTCCAGTTTGACAACACTCTTTACCGACAAATAGATGGTGTAGCTATGGGCAGTCCACTTAGCCCTGTTTTAGCAGATATCTTTATGTCAAACCTTGAGAAAACAAAGCTGAAGCATGCAATTGATCAAACAACTTCCTATTGTCGATATGTCGATGACACATTTGTAGTATGCAACAATGAAAGTCATGCCTCCTACCTACTCAGACTATTCAACAACGCACATACAAATATTGTATTTACTATGGAACATGAAAATGATGGACAGTTCCATTTCCTTGACGTCGCCATAAAACGCCTAGAAGATGGTAGCCTCCAGAGGTCAATCTACCGAAAGCCCACATGGAATGGACAATACTTACATTTTAATAGTTTTTGTCCAAATAGCTATAAACGAGCACTAGTCAAGACTCTGTACTATAGAGCGAGGAGAATATGCTCTGCAGAGAAACTAGAGGAAGAATTCACGAATCTCGAAAAGGTGCTGAAAAACAACGGCTATACTCAAAAATTCATTAACAAATATGGAAGATGTGAAGGCCCAAATACCAAACAAATCACAGTCGAAAAAAAGCCTGTCTTCATTCAACTAGACTTTAAAGGTGAAGACATTGCAGAAATGGTCAACAGAAGACTGAGGACGTCACTAGCCAGAGCCTATCCTGCAGCTAAGTTGGTTCCCGTCCACCGAACAACATGCTCTTTGGTGCAGTCAAAAGTCGATAGATACCCTTCTCATGTTAACTCCAACTGTGTATACAAATTTACGTGTATCTGCGGGAGCAGTTACATTGGGAGAACAGAAAGAAGGGCACACCTCCGATTTTCTGAACATGTGCCGAAAAGCCTACGTCTCAAGGGAACAAATTCTTATAGCAGCGCTATTACCAGACATCTCCTCGACACGGGTCATGAGGTGGAAATCGAGAAATCCTTCAAAATTATCAATAGACAAAGGAGCTCCATTCTCCTCAAGTTTGCCGAAGCAATTTCTATCAAACGCTTGAAACCAGATCTATGTGTTCAGAAAGAATCAGTTATTAGTCTTTCCTTGCCTTGGTAACTGGATGTCTTTTTTCTCCCATCTGATTGCGTAATCTTTGTCTTTATTTAACCTCACCCTCTTTTATAATTTTGCTTGTCTCTTGTTTCTATGATTTGAGTTCAACTCAGTACATTGTTACCTAACTTATTAGTCACTTTGCATCTCTCATCTGATTGTGTAATTTTGTCTTTAACCTCACCCTCCTTTTATAATCTGTAATTTTGTTTGTCTCTTGTTTCTATGATTTGAGTTCAACTCAGTACATTGTTACCTAACTTATTAGTCACTATGCATCCAACGCACATCCCTTACCATTATATACATACATTTATTTATTATTTTTTAACTTGAACTGCCTGTGTAAAAACTATATAAGCGCAATTTTCTGAGCACTGTTTACTAGTTGTGAAACTTTCTGTCAACATGTAAAATTTGCAAGTACGTTAAAACGTTTCTGTACTTAAACCTGAAAATTTATTTAGGCTGTAAGCAGCTGACGAGAAGCCAACGAAATAAATGATGGTACCATGTTATTCTGCACAAATCAATGTTGTTCTCGCTTTATTCAAATTTATCAAGGGGAATAAATGCATGAACTTTTATAATGCCTGTTAATCTTTATATTTCATTTTTATTTTGACTATAGATTGAAACCACACAGTATTTTTGGTACAGGTACGGAATACTCAGCATGAGATATCGGTAGCCCAAATTTTGCAGGCCAACAATTGATATCGGGTGTGCGTCGGCAGGGGATCGAACCTCGGATCATATGCATGGTCGGCGAGAGTCCCAACCGCTGTGCCACCAACGCACACAAAAAGCTAAAGAGAATTGCTTCTTTTAATAAGACAAAATATTTCGCAGCATTGCATTTTTATGCAACAAGATCACATATGCTTAACAAGATTACATGATACATGAAAACAATCAATTGTAGATACAACAAATAGAATTATATGAAGATATAAGCGTATGAATGAATTTAAATTAAGGGAGAACACAAACGTGTAGCAATGATCTTATGTAAGAAAGAGACTCAGAATGAAGTATATATATCTATAATGCAAGTAGCTAAAAAGGGTAAGAAAACTAGTTGATGCAATAAAATAATAATAGTAATAATAATAAGTGAAATGATAGTCGTGCTGAATACATCACCATACTACTTTCATACAGGAAGAGAGAGAGGATGGATGAGGCAAGCACAGGAGACTAGATTCAAAATAAAATAGGTATAAATATAAGATACAAATTACAAAAATTAAAAACAATTTAATAGGGGAATAAAAATTAAGCACAAAATTAAAAAAAATAATAATACTGAGCAGAAGTCATTTAAGAAAGCAAACATCTTTATATAAATCGATGATTTGAGAAAAAAAAATTATTTGTACTCCTAGAAAGTAATTAACGACAGTTTATGACTAAAGCAACTATGTAAGTAAATGCATAAAAGTCTGAAATAACCAGATATTATTTTGCTATTCAGGAGAAAAAAGGCTAATCAATGTTAAATCAAATATTAGTAATCACTGTATATCTATTCCATTAGTATAATCCAGAATCACGTAATAATGAATAGGCAGCGTCGCCACCCATTAAAGATCGTATGAATTCAGTTCCAGTACGGGAATCATTTACATTGTCAACTCTTCCAGTAGAAGACAATGAAGGACAAGGTGCATTACAGTCTTGAGAACAATTAGGCCGATCTGAAGGTTCCCCAAGAGAGTTAGATTGATACTTTCGGTAATGGACAGACATTTTCTGACAATTCATAGGAAATTGTCGATGAGACTGATAGGAATTCTTTTGAATTCTATCAGCACACTTTAATTTGATCTGTTTCGACTGAGATGTAAGATTATTAACATTAAAAAATGGTGGGAAGGTAGAATTCACAAACTCAGTCTCATCATCTAACTGAATGGGACCTAATGAGTCGTTCATAGAATTAAAATCATTGGAAGACTGATAATTTGTCACATCAGCAGGAAGCGATTTATGAATAGAGATGAGATCACAGTTTTCGATGTATTGATTACAATTAGTAGTTGATTGGTTTCGAATTACAAAAGGAGTTTTATTAAACTGTTTTTGAGTGTTACCTTTATTCCCCTTCGTTATTGTAGATTTAGTAACTATACTGTTTTTTCTGTTTGTTATTTCATTGTTTAAAGCCTCTAATTTCACGGAAGACGGTAAGTCAAATAGAAATCCTTTATCGTAAACCGTTTTATCCAGGGCAGAGATTTCTGGATTAATTGGAAGAATACGGAAATTACGTGCCCTTTCAGGAGTGAGACGTTTTCGTCTGATGATTTGATTTGCAACTCCAGCTGTTTCACCAACTGTTAGTAGGTCAAAATAGTATCTAGCATATACACCGAATGGCACATTGATATTGAACTGTAGTAATCGCAATGTATGCCTTTCTAAAGCATTTCTATATTTTAAAATAGAAACAGATATCAAATTAGCCTGCAGCTTAGTAAACGATTAAAATAAAAACTTTAAAAAAACTCCTTTTTAAAAAAAAATTAGGGATAATTTGCATCTACATGAGAAAGAAAAATCTCCAAAAATTGTTTATGCAGAAAATACTAACAGAACAAAAACGGCATATATCATAAGCAAAGAGATGTTCAGAAGGGGTAAAATATTGTGATGTGAGCAACAATTATTGTTCCAAACATCCTGTCTATTTTGTTATTTCTACATTTCTAACCCCTAATTGCACAATGTCAGTCTTCTTAGTTATTATAATGCTACTTTGTTTGTTTTATCCATCCCCCTGTTTATTATGGCATTCTAATTCCCAATTTTTATTTTTATTAATTTGACCCTTGACCGGATATTATTCTGGATCTTTCCCATCCATTTGATATAAATACACGAATGTACAGCCTAGATGATGACTTCGTCGAAAAGAAAATTTTCTTCGCTGCAACTGTCTTCTTAATTATTGTTATCTTTTCCTTTATAATTCATTTAAGTGAGTTGAAAATCATTCCAAAAACACACAAAACAATATGTTGCATTAAACCTCGAATTCGTTTCGATAACTATTAAAAAACGATACGAAACTGGTGATATGACCAGATATGAAACCTTCTATACTGCGAGATATACGAACATGTGTTAACGGAAAATAACACAGAGGAAAAATATAATTAATAAGACCACAAAGTGATAGGCTATCACCTCATATTCTGATCGGAATGTAGAACTTCGACAGTACATCTCTGTTTTATCCTATTCTCTGAGACCCACTTCATATGGTCCCACAACTGTCACTGGTCTCCCATCCCTTCCATGTCAAACTCGGACAACCTAATCGCCGTTTCCTTCCAATAAGATAATAGAAATAAATCAACATTATCGCCTCTTTAGCCTGCAGTTTTTCCTTGACGGGGTTTGTAGGTTGGAATTTCACCCTAATTATTACTTTATCAAGCATTCCGCGTGAGGTTTCAGGTGTCTCCCTCGTTTCCTTCCAATTCCTGTTCCACTCCATAGTCTGGCACGACATGTCACTCAACGCCCGTCTCAATTGATGTCCGATCCACCTACACATTCTCCTACATATTTCTTGAGCAATAGGTTCTTGGTTGGCTGGCTGCTTCGTTCTTTCGTTCGTTCCCACAGTTTCTTGTCACTAATTCCCTTTCGCTGGCTGACTGACTGGCTGGTCATTCGGTCTTCAATATGGAGTAAGCGAAGACACCTCCTGACGAAAGTATACTGTGACTTGTTGGAAACCCTTCTCGTGCCACGTCAAACTCTCTGCATCACTCAAGTATTGACTGACTTCACGTCAGTGTTGAAAATCCCAATTGCCTTCCTTCATACACGAATTGCTGAATGGGTGCATAAGACTTCTAGACTGATTTCCTCAGAGTGATGGAGATCTGTCTTGCTTTTCCGATCAAGCCTTCAACATATATATATATATATATATATATATATATATATATATATATTCCAATTTTCCTTCAGTTATCTTGACCAAGATATCAGTGTGAAGACTGGTAGCAGAATTTTCTTTAGATACAAAACAAAGGCAGTTGGACAACAATAAACAATTGGAATCACAAGTACCCTACTTGTCAGCACGAAAGCCCAACGGAACGCAATTATCCACAGAACGACAATTTAAATGGATGACTAGTATGCTAATTCAAATACACCAAGAAGATTTCAAGGAAAACACTTGACAGGCTTACAAGTCTTCAACATGGATATCCCGCAGAATTTGGCAATAATCAATATTCCACACAGCTTGGTCGTCTAAAACCTTGCTGGCAAGAAGAACGCAAGCCAAAAGTTGACGACGCCAAGTCCATGATATCATAGCCACTTCAGCTCCCACAATAAGTCGTTCAAGGAATATCTGATAGGAGAAAAAAGTAAAAAACAAAAAAGGCGTAAGAAGTTGAGCGGTACAAATCTCACGCAAATGTTTACCCTGATTCCTCTTTGCGTTGAAAAAGTGGTGAATCTCACTTTGTTTCAAATCAATTTCAGTTAAGGAATGAAAAGGCCAGAATACTAAAAAATGGATGCTATCTATGTAAAATAAAATGCAAAATATAGCCATACATAGAGTTAGCGTTTTATCCTTCTCTCTCAGCAGACTGTAAGAAATATGTATGAAGAGGTTAAGAAAATACAGAAGGGAACCTCTGTTTCTTCGATGATGAATGTCCCAATAGTCGTTTTGTTTCTTCTGCTTGGATTTTTAACGACACATGTCGCCAGGTCAGTAATAAAATGTTTAGTTTAAAATAGAAAACTTCTTGGATAAAAGCCTGACGTGAAAAGCAACAAGACTATCAGAAGATACCAATTTGGGTATTTACTTCAGGCAGGAAAAGAGAATTGTGCTGCGATAGTTTCCTGAACATGGGCACTGAGTTTACAGTCTGTAGGAAAGAAAGATCAAATGTCTACCTTGTGATGTATAACCGACTGAAAATCTGACAAACCAAATTACAACTTGGAGGACTGGAAAGTGTATCTAGAAAGCTGTCGTCATAGGTGAAAACGTCAACGAGATTTCACAGTAACTTCATATCCAGTGAGATGGGATACTATTCACACTGGAAATTCTAAACTGACCGAAATCCAAAGGGTTCTAATTAGTGTTTTTGACATGACATTATTATTTATTATGACAAAATTAAAAATGCAGTGAAGTTATTCAATCAAATGAACTGATATTTATCAGAAGTACTTTATGGATGGATCAACTGAAGCCATACAACAAAGTTTTAAAATAAGACTATTTAATTTGGTGTCTACAGAGTGTAGGGGGATTTAGATAGCAATTCATGTTTGTCAAACTGAGGTTTTGAGTGAGAAATGTAGTTACCAAGCTGAGGGAACTTTCATAAAAGTGATGGTGTGATTTTTAGTTGAAGCAGATTAGTTTCTAGTCCAAAACATTGTTTCTTTTCGTCTAATCTGTAACTAAGTGGAGAAGCAAAGCTGGTAGTCAAACCAGACTTCTGAATAGAAATAACCTTACGATTTTCTGCATGAGGCACCAGTAGGTCGAAAACTATAAGCTTTGCATTGTTCATAATCAGTACGGTAAAAACAAGCGTTTGTGTTGGACATGAAAGAAGTGAATGATACAAGTTGCTTAGAATTAATCCCTCTAAAAATGAACAAAATAGGTACTATGTTCGAATAAGAAAAAAAACAGTCAAACCATATTATTACGAATAACACATCATATCCAGAGCATTTTCTATCAAATGATTGTTCGCTTGGATGATATGGGAAATAAACCAAATGAAATAGGAACATCCATAGTGGCCAACTAGAAATGTTTTTTTCTTTATAGAATCAGTGCTTGATTGAGTTTTAAAGTCAAATTATAGAGATATGATTATTTTACATTTATTTATAAGAAGAAAGAAAGAAAGAAAAAGTCATTTATCATGACGGTAACTTCAGCCTATTGTTTACTAAATCCGATTACTTGCTGGGATAACCACAACATGTTGTTACTCAATATTTCAAATTATGTATCAGTAACATTAGTCCCTGAAATCACTCACAGGACATAAAAATAATAATAATAATGCACTGTTGGTGTCTTTAAATATATCAGTACACAATTATTGTTAAAACAGATGATGACTGAAGGTGAAATGATTATCTGGGTCATACAATATATCAATAGTAATGTGACAACACCAGATTAGTTTCATCAACAATTATGACTATATGCCATTATAAAGTGACCAGTGTTTTTCTTTATTTCAAACTATTCTAATAGGTATGAATGCTTTATAACATTGAGTTCTGCAGGGTTTCTACTATTTTCGTAAAACTTTCGGAAATACACGTATCAGCTTGTGATACAAATTGTGCAATCAAAATGGATTAAAAATAGTTAACAGTAATTCTATAATCTATTTGTATGCACAAATGAGCTTTAAGATGCCTGTTATATCTCCATTATGGATAAGATTTTATTTTGATAAATCACACAGTTATATAGTAATATTAACTGTGTGATTTATCAAAATAAAAGCTTATCCATAATGGAGTTACACACTACCACAGTGCCCAAGTTTTATACTTATATGCCAGTTATACATATATATGTATATGTATATATATATATATATATATATATATATATATATATATATATATATATATATATATATATATATATAATCTTTTTGGCCAAACTTTAATTTGTTTAGCGTCCGAAATGTTATAACATATACTCACTCTTCAAAATTCTTTCTTTACTTCCCCTTACTGCTTTGTTGAGGCTTAGGAAAGATTGAACTAACGGACTTTTCTTACCTTGACATGGTGGTTTATATATCAAAGTGATCCAACGAGCCATACTACCTTGAGCGAATGTTCTTCAGGTCCTAATATGCTAAGAAGATAGTGTGGATGGTGGTTAGATTAAAAGCAGTTACCATTATAGTGTAAGTTGCTTGCATCATGTTGGGAGTCTGTGGGCGAAGTCATACTGCTGGCGAGTAGGGATGTAACAGCAGTAAGGTGTTTTCCTGGGACGACCAGTAAAACTGACTATGCTGCTTCTCTGATCTGGAGGGAGAGATGAAAAAGGGCGACAACGAAAGCTGTACATTCCGGCTTACCTTGCAGTGGTCCGTAGCCAAAGGTAAAATCTTTAAAAGGAAAGCACCATGAAATTAGCCCTAAGCAGGTGTTTACCGGGAAAATATGGTCACGCAACACAAACTCTGTTTCTGTTTCAGGTATTTCAAGGAGTAATCAACTTCCACGGTGTAGGAAGCAGTGAAGCAACATCCATCCACATATCTTTCACTTTTGTTACACAGATTTTCGGTTTTTTTTAATCTGTCAACCTGCGTAAATGGAATCTGAGGACAACTACATACAAAGAATTATAGGGAACTTATTCCCTTTCTTTGAGTTTATCATATCTTTCTTAATTCCTATAAGGATTTGATAGGTGACATTAATTCTACACTAAATGTATCGTTAAGCAGCGAGTAGCTGGAGGGTAAATAAAACCCAGTTCAACAGTTTTAGAACGTATATCGATGAATGTTACAATAATTTACCCTCTTCCATGATCACACCATTCATAAATTCGAACAGTTTCATGATAAAATCTCATAATATTTTTAAACCTTAGCCTTTCGTCACTCACCAGTGCGTATATCCAGTGTTTTATCGACTATCGATGTATGGAGGCTTCCCACTCATAGAGGAATGAATACAAAATATTATTTTTCAACAACTGACTACGATCCAGGCAACAGGTAGCATGCAATTGCCAAAGCCAGCCGAGATCTCATCATTTTCGTATTCAAATAATTTTATTTGAAATACAACACACGGTGATACACTATTACACAAGACGTTCCAAGCAAAATTTATCCCTCATAATCGCATCAAAGTGCTCACATGAATTTCAGATTTTGTTCATATAGTTTTATTTTTTCTTATCCTTTGACTTCAATAGCAATAATATTTACCATATCTCTGGTACTGCTGTAGCGCCATTACTAAAACATGTGTTTGGTGCAGACTTGGTGAACAAAGATCCAGCAACGAATCTCTTCTTGTAAATAATTAGAACGGTAACTATGACCCATCAAACTGTGTCTGTAAGTGCATGCATCACAATTGCTGGGTTTTTCTTTCACTTGATCGATTCTTTTCGAGTCAGTCATTCTACACTTACCCAAACTCGTCCAGACAACTAAATTAGCCTCGGTCAACTGGACCTATTTATAAACACGACTTCACAGTCATTGCAAGATATTTTGGAGGTTGTTATTATTGTCTAATTATTTGATTAATCAAATCTGCTCCACTTAGCATAAAGAAGAAGATCCGGATTTTCAACACTAGTGTTGAATCAGTGCTCTTATATGTTTCAGAGACAGTGTGTTACTGAAAGCATTTCCAACAGGCTACTGCAGACTTTTATCGACAGCTGCTCTTTGTTGAAGATAAGATGGCCACAAAGGATAAACAACAAGGAACTCTAGCAAAAAATGACCGAAAGTCTATCACCCAACATATTAGCAGAAGGAAACGGAGATGGGCTGGACATTGCGCGCCAGATCCTCGAACGAAAGATGACAAATTGGGTGTTTGAGTGAGACATGGGGATCGTGTGTGGAGGTCAGAGATTGTGGACAATCGTGGAGTCAGCTAGAATGGACTGCAGAAAACAGAGTAAAATAATGACGACCTGCTGCTGAGGCTTAGTGTTCCATTTGGAACCCAAGGGAAAAATGAAAACGATAATAAGATAATAGCAATAAATCAACATTATTGCCTCTTTAGCCTGCAGTTTTTTCCTTGAGGGGGTCTGTAGGTTGGAATTTCGCCCTAATTATTACTTTATCAAGCATTTCACGTGAGGTTTCAGGTGTCTCTGCCTTAAATTGAAAAACTGTGTATATGAAACTGCCACTAGTTGAAGTTCAAGATTTTTAGTTGTGTATAGCCTGTAACTGAGCCACTTAACAACTATTAAAAATGATGTTTCCTACAAGTGTAGTGTTCAAAGATGCTAAGCAGTCTGGTTTTGTGCTTGCAACCGACCTTTGCCGATGGAAGATAAGTACAGTTAAGAGGAGGAAAAAATGGAAAATGTACTTCGTCAGTGCATTCCTATTTGGCTCAGCCTCTATTTACTCAAGCTTTGAAACTCTCTGTTAGGACAAGTGTATCCGCAAATTTAATTAAAATTTAGTCATGACGATATAATAGATTATAGTGCTTGTTATTTAATTCGAATCCGTCTCACACTGTCCTTCATCTTACCAAAATCACAATAATAATAATGTGCGTCGGTGGCACAGCGATAGAATGCTTGCCAACCACGCATGTGGTTCGGGGTTCGACCTCTGAACGACGAGTTCCTTCGCCTCGCTAAGCCAGTAATAAGACTGTTATAAAAGGAAGGTTGGGTATGAGGCTAGTAACTCCATCCCATTAAAATAAACACAACTGCTATCGAAACTTCAACGCTCTAGCATGAAGCCCTATGTCTCACTGGAAATGTAAAGAAATAAAATTAAAATATAAAAACAATTATTATTATTACCTACTGTGAGATACAAATATACGATATCATCACGTGAATGAATAAACTTAGCGAAAATTCAGAAACAGTATTTTCAAAACAATGAAGAAAAGTCCATACATGTCACAATACAATTAACCGTTCTTTGAGAATTGAGCTAAACATGAAAGCATAATAAAACTGGAATGTTCAGAGCATCAAATAAAGAATAGATGAGGCACGATTAGTAATGAATAATACACATTTTATACATACACCTATTCTCCGATTAAGTTCTCTACCTACTTACCTGACTATATATTTTGGCATTTTGGGGCGAAATGATACACATGCATGTTATAATTTAAAAATATTCACTTACAAGAGCAACAATTGCACACTCAGGTCCTAATATTGCCGTGCTGAAAAGGCCACGTAAAAACTGCTGTATGGTTCTAGCATCAGGATATTCGCGATCACCCGTAGCACTAGTTTTGGAATTTTCATCACACACCGAGTGCTGAAAAAAAAGTATGTAAAAAGGATGAATCGGAGACTAACGAACCCACTTGCACGCTTGTAAAACAACGTTTATTACTACTGCTCTTTTGTATTCTCAGAGGCATAAAGAACTTCAGCGGTACATCTCTGTTTTATCCTATTCTCTGAGACCCACTTCATATGGTCCCACAACTGTCACTGGTCTCCCATCCCTTCCATGTCAAACTCGGACAACCTAATCGCCGTTTCCTTCCAATAAGATAATAGAAATAAATCAACATTATCGCCTCTTTAGCCTGCAGTTTTTCCTTGACGGGGTTTGTAGGTTGGAATTTCACCCTAATTATTACTTTATCAAGCATTCCGCGTGAGGTTTCAGGTGTCTCCCTCGTTTCCTTCCAATTCCTGTTCCACTCCATAGTCTGGCACGACATGTCACTCAACGCCCGTCTCAATTGATGTCCGATCCACCTACACATTCTCCTACATATTTCTTGAGCAATAGGTTCTTGGTTGGCTGGCTGCTTCGTTCTTTCGTTCGTTCCCACAGTTTCTTGTCACTAATTCCCTTTCGCTGGCTGACTGACTGGCTGGTCATTCGGTCTTCAATATGGAGCCAGAGAAGACACCTCCTGACGAAAGTTAACCGTGACTTGTTGGAAACCCTTCTCGTGCCACGTCAAACTCTCTGCATCACTCAAGTATTGACTGACTTCACGTCAGTGTTGAAAATCCCAATTGCCTTCCTTCATACACGAATTGCTGAATGGGTGCATAAGACTTCTAAACTGATTTCCTCAGAGTGATGGAGATCTGTCTTGCTTTTCCGATCAAGCCTTCAACATCTTCAACAATGCCACCTGTAGTTGAAACGATGCTGGCTGCCTAGATAAGTGAAGGAAGTGATCGACCTTTCAAAGTTCTTCCCTTCATGGTGATGGTGGTGATTTGTGCTGTCTGCTGTTGTTGCTGCATTTGCCGTTCCTTGGTTATCTTCATCACCTTTGTCTTCTCCATGTTCACTTCAAGTGCCACCTTTGCTGCTACAGCAACATTATAATCGTCTTCTTCTTCCAACTTGTTGCTTTCCGTCTGTAAGTCTTCGAGTTTGTGTGTCACACTACATAGATAGATAGGTAGATATAAATCAGCCACGTATTTCTGTCTCCTCGCTTCCCACACACTGTCTTCCGCATAACACACAGTCCACCACAATTATCAAGCAATATAATATCATCACCACCATCAGTGATAGTAGGCAGGCGGCCAGACAGCTAGGCAGTCATGTCTTACCTTACGTCTTCACCTCAAAGGCTTAGCTGAGCAGCTTTCCGTTGTGGTGGATCACTTCACATGTAGGTGGCACTCTCATACAGAGATGTATATATACAGCCGTTGAATGAGGCTGATTAGGGTAGTAGTAGTTTCTAAATTACTTCACAGTCAATATGGTTAATGGTGTGTCTAAAGTGGATGATCGATAGAAATTTGACTATCATTGTATGCTTTCTTCGACGGCGATGATGAGAATGGTGACGGTGATGCGTAGAGTTGCGATTAGATCAACACATGATTCGCCTCTCTTGAATCCAACTTGTTCCATGCTGGCGGAATTCTGCATCCAGTGCATCTTTTTTTCTCCCTAGGATGACGCTACTTAGTATTTTGTTTGGCGCCGACAACAGCATGATACTGAGCCAGTTCTTGCACAGGCCTCAGTCGCTCTTAGGCCTCTTTCGTAGTTTGACGTAGTAGCCTTTCTTCCAATCAATCAGTAGGCATCTTCCCTTTCTTCCTTCCTTCCCTTCTTTCCAACATTTTGTAACAGTGATGCGAGCATATACGCCGCGGTCTCTCTACTGATTTCAGTGTTTACGCAGAAACTCCGTTTGGTCCTGATGCTGCCTTCCGCCACCTAACACCCACTGGCCTTCAGTCGTCACTTCATTGCTTTTCTTGGGGGATTGATGTCCACCGTCAGTTCTCTGAGTGGTGTTCGTGGTGGTATTTCTCGACGAGCTGAAGGTGGTGGCCGGTTAAGGAGTCGTTCCGAGTGATCCACCCATTGTTTTTCATTTGTCTTTCCATCTTAGTAGTTATTAGGTTCCCTTGACCATCCCTTATTAGGCTCATCATCTGGGTTGATCTCTTCCCAGATGATGGATAGAGACCTGCTTATCTGAAAGAAACAACCTCCTTCACCTACCTGGGAAGCATCGTCTCAACTACAGGCGGAACTGACGAGGACATCAAAGTCAGAATCGGAAAAGCAAGACAAGCTCTCAAATCTGTGTGGAGGTCAACAGCACTCAGCATCAAAAATAAGATCCGGATTTTCAACTCAAGTGTGAAGTCAGTGCTACTATACGGATCAGAGACTTGGCGAGTCATAAAGAGCATCTCAAACAAACTTCAAACCTTCATTAACAACTGTCTCCGCTCAATACTCAAGATCAGATGGCCAGAAAAGATCAGCAACAGGGATCTCTGGGAGCGAACCAACTCAGCAGGAACCGATTGTGAAACAAATAGGCAGGAAGAAATGAAGATGGATTGGCCATACGCTGAGGAAACCATCAAGTGACATCACTAGACAAGCCATCGCTCGAGTGGAACCCGAAAGGGAGGCGGCGAGTTGGTCGTCCAAGAGTGACTTGGAGGAGGTCATGCGAGGAGGAGATGAAAGCATGTGGACAGACCTGGAGCAGGGTGAAAAAGTTGTCAGAAAACCGAAGTCAATGGAGGTGTGCAGCTGAAGCCCTATGTTCCTCTAGGAACTAAAGGATACAATAATAATAATATATCTGATATACAATGTTCTCAGGTCGATTCCTCCTGTCTTCTACCTTACAAACCACTCTCCTTCACGCCTTTATTCACATCGATGTACAGTACATTGAAGTCAGCTTCTCTTCTCCTATCCTGTCATGTCCATCTTGCTTCACATTGCTTCATCATCACCTCCTTCTTCTATCTCACCATTCCTCCCATTTTGTCTATTAGCTACCTAGCTAGCTTCCAAGTGCCAGTCTGTAGAGAGACAGCCAGCCGGCCATTCCTCGTCTTGCCTACCTACTCTTTCTTCCTAGAACAGCTCTTCGCCTTCGCTTGAACATCACTTTCACTTCACACAGCTCAAGTCTCCTTCCACACACGTCTCCTCCTTCACCAACCTACGTAATCTCTCGGAAGAATTTCCTCTCATGGTTGCGCTGAAGGTGTCACTTGTAGTTTTGTCTTCCACTTCCACACTGTTCAACTTCAATTGTCATCATCTATCTCCGGTTCTTCTGAAGGCTTTCACTTTGACATTGAAGTAGATTATGGTCTGAGCTGAGCACACATCTGCAGCCCTACTTGAACTTGTGTACTTACTTACTTTACTTTACTTCGGCTATCTCCTACGGGAGGATGAGCCGGCTTCATGAACGTCTCGAATCATCGCTGCCCAGGCGCGGCAATTTGTAAAAGAGTTCATGAAGTTTCATGGGAATTTGGTACGAGTGATGTCCCCAGCATCGCTCGGCCTTTTGTTTGAGAGTGCAGCTCTAGCCTTCACACAGCCAAGTGTGACCTACAAGGCAGTAGGAGTGGAGTAAGGAGTCCACTATCCATTGGCAGCCGGTGACCGGAGTTCGGTTCATACGCCTTTTTGAATGGGGCCAGACATCCAGGACATCCAACAAGCCCTTTGTCCATACGTCTGCCGGTGAGCTCCAGTGAGCTTCATACGCCAGTCGTTGGAGGTTTGGAATCAGGGTTTAGCCATCTCCCCTAGACCGTCATCCAATGAACAGTCAACCCGGTGGAGAGCGCCGGGCATCCGCTTTCGCCCTCTTACTTTGGTGAGAAACACCTCCGCCACGTGAAGGCAGTGAGTAGGACTTCCTCAGGAGAGGCTATGTAAGACGCCCGGTCATATGGGAGCATTTCAAGAGGTGTGCGGAGGGGTGGCCAACCCGCAGCGCAAGGCACCCACCCCCGACCATCCTGAGGCTTTGGACTTGTGTCCAGCAGACTGGCTGTGTTTGCACTTCATACAGTGTGCTCATGGTTGTCGTCTGGGTGACCGGATTGAATTACCGGTTCTCCGGTCAACAATTTAGCTAGTCCGTATCCGTTCCATCTGCTTTCACGTGTTCCGAGAGCTAGTATACCTCATTTTTCCAAGTGTTTTGCAATCTGAGAGGGTTTCCCAGCTTCGAACATTCCACGTCCCCATGAATAGTTTTGCTTTCATGGGATAGGGACATCGGCTCACTGGCTTCTCCAAAGCTTTCACCAATAAACGTCATTTGCTTTCTCCGACTCCAGAGAACGGTAAGTCTGATATTTTTTATTTATGTGATTTAGAGTTTCTGCAATCATTGGGGTGATTTTCCGGAGTGGAGTCACTAGCTCTAAATTCAAACTTCTCTCATTTTCCCGGATTAGGACGGGTTGGAACATCAGCAAACCAGTAAACAGGGCAAGGTTGTTAAATTAAAGTGGTACAGGGGAAACATGTGAAAATGGTGGGAGGCTATAGAAAGAGTGTATCTGAAGGCAAAATCCAGTGCAATAGTGTAAAATAAACTCATTACGCAGAAAGAAAGGAAGTTGTGGATGGAGGTGAAACTTTAAGATCGGAAGTTGAAGACAAATAACTGGGTATAATTAAAAAGGAAGCATCGCTTTCAGGCACAAAATAATATAAGAATAGAAAGTGGAAAATTCCATGCACATTGTTGAAGTTTGCAATTAAGTGCTCATATTCTGTATGGATTTTTGAACCTAAGGTTACATTATCCTGGAAAATCATGAGTTAGAGCTACTGCATGACGAAGTACTATGAGGCAGTGTTTACTTAAGACAGACAGGGAGCTGTTATCAGCATGAGGGTTAGAATTGTTACACCTTATCATGGATAGAGTGAAAAGGGAAAGGAAAAGTGGAAACAATTTAGTCGAGTTATAGTGCTTTAAGACAGGAATTATAAATAATAAAGATATTACAATGTTGAAGATAATGAATGCATCTGTTCGATAACTTTCAGTTTCGGGTCATATCATTTAGTCCCTAACCACAGGGTTTTTTCATGTTGATTGCAGCCATGCTGTTTGTAAACCTCTATAGGGCTAGGACGTTTGGTTAGTGATTCTACGATTTGGTGGTACGTAGTGATCTGTCCACACTTCAATTTCTCCTAAACCTAACCTACTTGTGCTGACACAAGATGTTGAGATATATATTTGTAGTGCACAACACACCGCGGATTTACAGTACACTCAACTCACATACCTATTGTACGTAGGACATGACGCATAAATTTAACGTTGCTTCAGTGGTGGTTCTTCCACACACCACCAATATTACGAAAGCCTTAATGTTAAGTTGACAATGGTTTTAAAAGACTGGAAATAATACTTATCTAGGTGAATCACTTAGAGATACAGTTAAAAAAGGATGAAGAAAGCATATAAGGAATACTAATAGTAATGGAAAGCAAAGCTTGAGGAAAGACAGGGACAGGTGATAAAAGTAAATCTATGCTTTAATCGGAGCTTGTGAGTGGTAGACACCTCTCAGAAGCTTATAGTGAGAGATTATTACCTCAGGGAGTACCTGAAGAATTATTTCAGCGCGGTTATAAAGCCTAGGGTACGACTGCTTAACATAAATCACACACTGTCTGTTTCGAAATGGAAGAAGTTCTGGAGAATTATCCGCGCGAAAAACCTATGGATCGTCATAGGGTAAATCAGCATGTACCATTTTAGGTTCAATTTCTAACTCCCCCCTAGGCAGTACAGCTAGCTTGTTGATCATCCACGGTTATGGCAACTGCTTTTAATCTCGCCACATTCAACATTTCTGGTATGGTAAAACCAGAAGAAACATTATGGTCATGGTAGTTTCTAGAATCAGCAGGCAATAAACCAAATGGCTGAAATTACTCCTTAAAACTCCATTACATTTCGTGCAACCTCGCGAAGTATCTACCCGTAAATAAAAGCGCTGTAAACACTTGCCATAGCCAGGATAAGTGGACCATGTGTCACTCACGATCCAGCCAGGAGCCGGTATGAAAGCTAGACAAGAATTTTGAGAATGAGAATTCATAGTTACTATGTAGAAAGCCAATACAAACTGTAGATTAAATGAAGTAAACCAACAAAATCTAAACTTCCCAAAATCATTACTACTTACTCTTGAGAATAACTTTAACAACCTCGTTTACACTAATTTTGTTAGCTAGCATAAGCATTTAATATTTACTGACACAATAACAAATACAAGCTTTTGTTTTTAGCCTTTGAAAGATTAAAACCCTTTACTCAGATCAGGTAGCCTGGTCAAGTAAAACCACCAACCACAAAACAGTTTCAACTCAACTACAACTTGAAACTGTGTTTGTAGAGCACCCATACAGTCAATGGAAACTCAGATTACTGTCTTTTTGAGGTCAGTTTCGAAGTTCAAATATGACGAACATTAGCAACTAATACAAAACAATAGTCAAGAGAATGATCCAATATCAGAAGCGTCTAAAACATTAATGAATATCTCAAGGAAAGCGGTAGCTACACTTATCACAGTCAAAAGAGATATTGAAAGGCTTGTCGCATAACTCCTAGGAAACTAACCTAAGTAAACCACAAATATTTAGGTTTTACGAAACCAGTATTGATATTAACATGTCACTTTCCTCACTGTGTTGTTGTGTGTCTAAGTTTTAAATGAAAGAGGACTATTAAAGAGTTCAACTTCCAACAAACAACATCAAACTATTGACATTGCGACTAACAACTAAAGAAAAATTAGACTTACAACTTTAACCTACCTCAACAGGGTAAATACGTTCATCGAACGTTTTATATACATCTTCATACATGTCCTGAAAATACTCTGAACACAGATGCTCTGCTGTGTGAGAGGCGTCACCTTTATGTAACTGCTTTGAAAAATATCTGTTCAAATCGCTGCTCATAAGGAGTCGGATTGCAACAGACGCACTCCATAGCATATCGTTTACGTCAGGTCGAGCCAAACAGCCGTCCCCAACAAAGACAGTACTGCATGAGCTCCATCGCTTCGTACCACAGTTTTCAGAAATTTTCATCGCTGCTTTGGTCTATTAATGTGCTAGTTTAACATTAGTTAACGTACCGTCAAGCGCCTACTAAAATCTAAATTTTAAAACAACGGTTGTTAGGACAATTATGTTACCTTGTGATTTCGGAGTAACACCAGAAAAAAATAACGTGTGCTGCGATGCGTTAAGTGAAGGATCGAATTCAATGTCTACGACTTATAAGAACAATAGTGACATATTCACCTTCAGGCTCCCGCTCGCTAATGTGCTGTGTGGTACTGTGTGTAACAACAGGCTCATTAAGTAGGTTGGTAGGGGTATAGCTAGCTAAGGTTACACGACTTTTGATATTCAAACCGGAATCCTCCTCGGAAAAATCTGCACCGTTGTTTTGATAGCCGCAATGACCGGAGGGAGGGGAGTTCTTCCAATCTTCTAGACCTCCATCATAAAGTTCTACCCATGTTTGACGACAACAAGTTAACCGGTGACCCATGAATAATAGTGCGCTTCCATACTCATACCGTAACGCACCGGTTCTAATCAAGCTCCAAATTCCAATGACCATTGAACTTTTACCGAGCCACTGCTTACCATACTTATTCCCTTAAGGTCTCTTCTTGGTTTTAGGGTGAAGATTCTTCACTTTTAGTAAAATTCCATGTTGTTTGTCCCGCCGCCGTAGCTTTACTTGACTTTGAGTGGAGTGGAGCGGCGACTGGTTATACATGCTTTGCAGTATGCGGTCTGCTAAAACCGGGTGAGGCTAAACGTTATCACGATAGATTCTCGTGCAGTGTATGGGTTATCGTGTTCACGCCTATAGAGGCGTTATAATCGCTCAGTTCTGTGAAAATAGATTATATTTGACTAGTTGTAGGCCTCCGTAGAAGAAAAAAGCAATATTTTGCTGTACTTTGTTCGTAGTAGTGCGTTAAATTGTCTTGATAGCCCAGACCGATTGTTACTAAAAAAAAGTCATCCTTTTTAGCAAATTTCGCATAGAAAGATTATTATTTGCGTTTTAGAGCCTCAAGGCTTTGTTGCTTGCGAGTTGTTTTAGATCTTAAGGTTGTAAATTGACTACAGGCAATGGTTGTCGTCATTCCAGTTATTCTTTGAGAAGCGGGTATTTGAAAGAGAAATAGCCCACAGACATAAGTTAGATATATTCTGTGAGGATGTTAAACACTTTTTTTATCATCCTTGATGACTGAAATATTCCATAACACATGGAAGAGATCATGCGATGAATGAAACAGGCCGCTGAATTTCCTGGTGATTATGTCTATTTTGATGAAGTTCCTAGTTAAAATTGCTTAGGCGAAGATGTGATACTAGTTTAAGTGACATTTGCACTTAGAATTTCAGAAGACCGTGATTGCTCAGTGCATAAAATGACATCAGATTATGTTGACTCCCTATGAGCAGCGATTTGAACAGATATTTTTCAAAGCAGTTACATAAAGGTGACGCCTCTCACACAGCAGAGCATCTGTGTTCAGAGTATTTTCAAGACATGTATGAAGATGTATATAAGACGTTCGATGAACGTATTTACCCTGTTGAGGTAGGTTAAAGTTGTAAGTCTAATTTTTCTTTAGTTGTTAGTCGCAATGTCAATAGTTTGATGTTGTTTGTTGGAAGTTGAACTCTTTAATAGTCCTCTTTCATTTAAAACTTAGACACACAACAACACAGTGAGGAAAGTGGCATGAAGAACAGCAGAACTCACACTACTACGCCTACTGCCCTTCACAGGTTGACGATTGTAAGTTGTGGAATGTCCGGACACAAACAAGATTAACCAGCAATTACAATAATTGGAACTCACACAATTATTTAACACCAACATATGTACAATCAATACATCAAATTGGTGGATTCTGCCTCGACGAACTACCCTTGAAGAACCGTAGGACTTACAGCAGTACGCCTACATTCCTTCTCAGGTTGACGCCCTAGGTTGGAAAATCGTCGCAGAGTTCATTTGCTGACTTCCCTCTATCATCTATATCCTCAAATCTGAACAGGAACACACTCATGTCATTGTATCGTGGAATATAGATGACTGACAAACACACGACGTATCTGGTCAACCAAGCGTAGGCACAGAGTAATTTACACCAAAGATAATAACATTCAAATAGTAACTTGAAACTAGAAATGCCTTTATTCATGCAAGTCAACTTAACAATTACTCCCCCGTGCACACTTGGCTTATCCTCACTAAACTGACCAATATCCTTCGTCCTTTCAAATGCACCAATACTACCATAGTCATTGCAGAAGATACTTGAGTTGATGGGTGTCTTTCCCATTGTGGATGACAACACCAACGACGACTGAGTGATACCAGTTGATGAAGTTAGCGGTGGATCAGAAGGTGTTGTTGTTCGGTTTTTAGAAGGTTGTCTAACTGCAAGATTACCACCACTGCAGTCTTTTACTATCAGCTCCGGTTTACCACAATCATCTGATGATAGGTGGGCTACACGCTGATCATTTACACGGACGGTCTCACGAGTATCCATACCTTCTGCAACTGCATCTGCATTCAATTCTACTTCACGTTGTAGTTGTACAGAACCTTTGTTCAACTCAGTAGTAGTAGGCATTCTCCCCGTTTCATCATGATCAACCAAAGACAAATCTGCACTATCATGATCATTATCACAAATATTCAATTTACCATAATCTATCTGGTCGACTTCATCATTTTCAAACTCTTTAATAACAGCAGTAGACAATTTTGGTTCCTCCTCACAAATCCTTAAAGGTTCTATCCCGTCACTCTGACTAGTAATACCTTGTAAACTTGTGGGGTCAGAACTGGACTCTGAAGCAGTAACTCTCCTCTGTGACATTCTATTAAACAATGGCTAACTGGTAGCAACCACAGGCTTCTTCACCAGACCGTTATCGTCACACAATTCGGAGTCAGACCTTGATTTCACATTTAGCTTATCATTAAATTTGCTCACTGATTCACACTTAAGATAAGATAAGGTAAGCTTCATTCCAAATCAGTACTTGTGATACAGAATGGAATTCTCAGCATTTTACTACAATATTGCATCCAGTTAGTACATTAACAATAAATATAGTTCTACATAGATTAAGGCTATCTCAATCAGTTTTGACAACAACATATTAGCAAGTCGGTAGCAAAGCCAAAATTTAAAGTGTTTGAAGGTTTTAGAAAAGTAGATACTACTAGCATATTTACTGGCGTAAGCGATAGCAAAATGGTCGAGGTATACAGAGTGTGAAAGAACGAACAAGAATGTTTTAAGTAGAGTTTGTAAGGAAGAGAGAAACAAAACAGCACATAACAAAATTAAATACAGAATGAAAAAAGTAGAGATAAAACGTTGTACCTGTAAATGATGTGAGTTGGAAAGACGAGATCCATTTGTTCTACTGACTATTTAATAAGTTAAAGGTTTCCCGCCTAACGCTTTCTTTATCGCACAGAACTCGAGCTAGGTAGGGTATGGATGAGTTTTTGTACTTACTAGTGCGGGCATATAGTTTCCTATATAGGCTTCTGATTTTCCCTGAAGAGATACATGAGGAGAGTTGTGAATGTAGAGGGTGTTGTGAGTCAGATAAAATGGATTTCGCCCATTTTTCACATGAGTCCAAGTGCCTGTCCACCAGAATATTAACAAGCTGGCTAAGTGGCAAACTGCTTACCCTGCTGACAACCTTTAACATCCTACGTAATAAGGTATAGTCTTTCTTCAATAGCCCAGGAAAGACTAAGGGGGAAAAATAGAGAATAATAGGCAGAATACGGGAGTTAACAAATTGTAGGAGTAAGGGTTGGGTTACACCAGAATGTCTTAACTTCTTGATGTAGAAGGTAAGACGGAATATATTCTTGGAAATCGTCAAGATATGAGACGACCAGGAAAGATCAGAAGATAGAGTGACGCCTAGGTATTTAATTTCCGACTTGGTTTCAATTTCAGTGCCATCTATGTTGCACACCTCGTGAGTGCTAACCAGTTTGTTTAGGTCAGATTTGTGCCTAAAGGTGAAATTAACTGTTTGGCATTTGGAGGGGTTTAAGGTGAGACCGTTTTCCTTGGACCATTGGCTGATTTCTGATAAGAAGCCATTTAGTTTAGAGCAGTCACTTTGACATTTGACAGGTAAAGATACAGTTAGGTCATCAGCATATTTGACAAAGTTAATGTCATTTGAAGACGGTAGGTCATGTAGGAAGAATGAAAAGAGAAGTGGGGAGAGTACAGCACCTTGGGGGACACCAGCTTCAGTGAGCACAGCAGAGGAGGATTCACCTTTGTATACGGTGTACTGCATTCTGTTTGAAAAGTAGGAATGCAACCAGTTAGTGACCCAGGACTCGGTTTGTGTCATGGAGAGCTTATTTAGCAAGAGACATCTAGGTACAGAGTCGAAAGCAGAAGTGAAGTCAAGAAACGTGCAGCGGACATATTTGGCACCTTTGTCTAATGATGAGACAATACTGTTGTGTAAGACGGCTGCAGCGTCTAAAGTACTCCTACCCTGTCTGTAGGCAAATTGTTTGGGGTCTTCGAAGCTTTTAAGGGAGGGTTCGAGTTTAAGAAGTACTAGTTTTTCCATGAGCTTTAGAAACGGGGAAGTGATGGCAATGGGTCTGAACTTTACGTTCTTGCTATTTCCAGGTTTAGGGACAGGGACTATTTTAATGTCTTTCCATGGAACAGGTACAACGTTTTCGGAGAAAGAAGCATTTAGGATATTAGTTAGAGGAGAACATAAAGCATCTGCACATTGTTTTAGAACATATGCAGGTATGCCATCAGGGCCAAGACTATGTGAGGGCTTAAGAGTTTTAAGACATTTCAAAACATCGAGAGTGTTAAAGTCCTGGAAGTTATCAGCTACAAGATTAGTAACGTTAGAAGTGGTTATAGTAGAAGGAGAGCGTATAAAAGACAGATTAAGAGCATTAACATCACAAGAGGGAAAAACATTACATCGCTTACTATTGCCAGTAATTTCATTGAAAAATTTCCACATGCTGATAGGAGATTTGCATGATAAAAGTGTTTGGTTATAGATAGCATTAAGATTTTTGATTTCAGATTTGATTTGAGCATTAATCTTTTTAAGTCCTAACTTGTCTTTGCATTTATATAACATTTCTTTTTGCCTGCGAAGTTGTTTGAGATGGGGAGACGAGAAGCGGTCGAGGCGTTTGAACAGTGTTTGTTTGGGACAGCATATGTCGAGGCAGAACTTGAGATAATCCATTATATTGGTGATTGAGTCATCTAATGTACTTTCATAGAATAGATCCCAGTTAGTATCTTTTAACATGCATCTTAGATTGAGTAGGTTGTCAGATGTGTAGCTTCTTTGTTGTGCTATCGTAGACAGGTGTGAGAAGATTTTAATATGTGTTTTGCTGTATATTTTTGGCAAAACGCGGACAATGCAGTGATCGGAGTTAAGTATCGGTGAACGTCTACGTGTTTCATATACTCCTTCGTCATTAGTAAAAACTAGATCGAGTGTTTTGTCAAGTCGAGTGGGAAATTTGACTATGTTTGTGTGACCAAGAGCTTCAAGAAAGGAGCAATCTGAGGTGTTGAAGTCTCCAG